GTAGCTCAGAGCGCTTGGCTGTAATTCCCTATCTACATATGATTTCTCACAATTTGAAAAAGATAGGTGATAAGGTAGATGTCAAGGTGGTATTCTCTGCCCCAGAAAAGCTTTCAGCGCTCTGCAAACGGGTGAATGTGCCAGTCCACTACGAAGGAGCTGCTGCACAATCAAACATAGAAGGCTATTTGTAGCATGTGTGATAGCCGTCGTTTATTTGCTTCCATTGTAATGTGGCAAGATATATGTTGGGCAAACGGGCCGATGCCTGAATGAGCGTTTAAAGGAGCATCACTACAATGTATACTCAGCTGTGCAAGGTCATTTGGGCATCCATTGTAGAGATTGTGGTTGTGAACCGGAATTCAAGAAGTGCACTGTTATAGCCAAACACCGTCAGCAGCTAACACGAGAGATTACGGACGCCAATGAAATGCAAATGCTGGGTGATGGATGTATCGGCATGCCTTCGCTTGCTCTGGCTGAAAAAGAAATCGAGCTTCTGGCTTTGACACAATAGTTCGTGAATTTTCTGCTGAGCTGCGGCGTTGTAACTATATAATGAGATGATTGTCTTGCTGTGATGCAATAGGTAGCGCGATTGCGCGGTGATGTTCTGTCACGAGTATATATTTTCAGCGTTTTCGCTAATAAAATTTCCGTTGAAGTCAGCGCTCTTTCTGTCCATGTCTCTTCTTCTGTAGTTTCGTCGTAACTACTTGTAGGCTTGCGCTGTGCAAATATGTTGATTCCCGATCACCAACTAGCCCAAGCATCTGTCTTATCAAATTACATTTCTTTTTTTACTTGTATGCACCCACCTAAACATACACTGCTAAGAAAACTGATTGTCATTAGCGGTGACAGCATAATTGTTACTCGGACAATAGCGTCGAGCACTGAACGACTGTTCACATCCCACTGCTTCCACCTTGCGCATACCGTATCTGCCTGTCCAAGTGTTGGTCCAAGAATTTCACCCAAATGACAGTCCAACTGATACCGATCGACCACCAACAACACAAGCACCACACGTCCACGCAGTACGTACGCCACAAAACTATTTCTTCAAAAATTTTGGTTGGAGTCTAAATCACCTCCTAATACTATACTTGTGCATCAATCAGCACATGGTCTTTGATTCATGCTCGCACAGCTCGTAACTCTCATAGATTTGGTGGCAAACACTTCGAGAGATTTGGTGTTAACTACTGAGCACCGCAGTGAAACTCCGTTCGCCCATCAGCGCAGAATGGTTCTCGCTATTGCACAGAACTCACGGTCCAAACTAACACCCACCACGGAACTAAATCACCACAGCATGCCTACTGTACAAGTTTACAATCAAATGTTACAACTACGCTCATAAAGCTTCGCAGAAGTTAGTGAGAAGCTCCGCGGTAGCCAATCGTAAACATGCTACCGAAACCGCCTACAAAGCTTTATGCCAAGCGTTTTTCCCGCTACCTACTTATAAACTTCAAACCAAGTCAAGTTGGTTTTAAGCGGCTATAAGGGGGAACAGAGCGTTTTGCGCCTGAAAACGCTCGTGCCACCCGGGGGCAGCAGACGCGGCCCGCACTGCCAGCTGAAGTCGGTCACTTTCCAATCTTCTACGCATTCGCAATATTCATGCTCACAAATGCTTAAAATTAAATTGGAAGCAGTTTTGTTTGTCATTACCGGTAGGGCTCTGTCATCATTCTGATGGGGACTACGCCTCACAGCGCGGCCGCAAAGCTCTCAACAAGCCACGGGCCAACGTTTCTAGACTAGGTAAGTTGTAAAACTCCCCGCATCAGACTACTCGTCACACGGCGCCGGGACAGCTTCCCGTTTGGTAGCGCTGGTGGCGGAACAAGCTTCCGCTAGCAGACAAAAACTGTTGTCGTCAGGCCAAGACGCCGTGGCGGCCGTTCTTAAAGAGCTTTGCCAACAGTATGTTATCGAGATTTGTTGTGCTGCCGCAGAAACTTTATACTGCGTAGTTATGGCTTTCTGAACTGCCCACAATGAACAATACTTAATATATATAGCATAGCATACGAGTTTTTCGGTTAGTTCCTAGTTGGTGTACGTTCGCAATAGGTGTTTAGAGGTGAAAAACCCATTTACAATGTGTTGGATCTTCTCTTGTGGCAGTTGTTTTTCATGCTTGAAAATAAATTACAACTATGTGGCAATCTCGCGGATTTTGTCTGGTTATGTACTTAGCTAATTTTTTTTAATGTCAATCAAATTCTTTATCAATTTAGACCGTCGAAAAGCTGCGCGTGCGGTCATTTTCTTGAGCATGTATTCCCTCTTCTTTTTGAGTTCCTCTAATGAAACCTGTTAACACAGCTGCAGCCAAAGCTTCAAGCAGAGACCGCACTTTGAGGTATCGGTGAGCACTTCGTAGTTATTACGAGTCTGCCTGCTGACACACTGGGACAACATGATCACACTTTCAGCTTTTCTATGTCCTCCAGAAGTTCGGCCAATTGGGTGATGGTATCTGCATTGCCGGGCGACATGGCTAAGCGGTAGTCATTACCATCATCAGCCTGACTACGTCCACTGCAAGACAAAGGCCTCTCCCATGTTTCGCCAGTTAACCCGGTCCTGTGTTTGCTCCTGGCAATTTATACCCGCAAACTTCTTAATCTTATCTGCCCACCTAACCTTCTGTCTCCTCCTAACCCGCTTGCCTTCTCTGGGAATCCAGTTAGTTACCCTTAACGACCAGCGGTTATCCTGTCTACACGCTACATGTCCGGCACATGTCCATTTCCTCTTCTTTATTTCAACTATGATATCCTTAACCCCCGTTTGTCCCCTAATCCACTCTGCTTTCTTCTTGTCTCTTAAGGTTACACCAACCATTTTTCTTTCCATTGCTCGCTGCGTCGTCCTCAATTTAAGCTGAACCCTCTTTGTGTAAGTCTCCAGGTTTCTGCTCCATAGCTAAGTACTGGCAAGATGCAGCTGTTATATACCGTCCTCTTGAAGGATAGTGGCAATCTACCTATCATGATTTGAGAGTGCTTCCCAAATGTGCTCCACCCTATTCTTATTCTTCTAGTTACTTCAATTTCGTGGTTTGGCTCCACGGTTATTACCTGCCCTAAGTGACATAGTATTTTTTAACAACTTGAAGTGCACTATTACCTATCCCGAAGTGTTGCTCTTTTTCGAGGTTGTTGCACACTACTTTTGTTTTCTGCAGATTAATTTCAAGACCCACCTTTCTGCTCTCCTTGTCTAACTCCGTAATCATGAGTTGCAATTCGTCCCCTGAGTTACTCAGCAATGCAATGTCTCCGGCGAAGCGCAGGTTACTAAGGTACTCTCCATTAAGTGTTAACCCTAACTGTTCCCATTCTAGGCTTCTGAAAATCTCCTGTAAGCATGCAGTAAATATCATTGGGGAGATTGTCCCCCCCTGCCTTACACCCTTCTTGATTGGTATGGTATTCTGTTGCTTTCTTTATGAAGCACTACGATAGCAGTTGATCCCCTGTAGATTTCTTCCAGGATGTTTATATATACTTCATCGACGCCCTGATTCCGCAGTATCTGCATGACAGCTGATATTTCTACTGAATCAAACGCCTTCTCGTAATCTATGAATGTTATGTATAGTGGTTGGTTGTAGTCTTAGCATTTCTCTATTACCTGATTGATAGTACGAATGTGGTCGATTGTTGAGTAGCCTGTTCGAAATTCTTCTTGTTCCTTTGGTTGATTGAATTATGTTTTCTTTACTCTGTTAGCAATTACCTTTGTAAATAGCTTGTATACTACAGAGAGCAAGATAATCGGCCTGTAATTCTTCAAGTACTTGTCATCTCCTTTTTTGTGTATTAAGATGATGCTAGCGTTCTTCCAAGACTCTGGTACCCTTCCCGTAAGGAGACACCTCGTAAACAGGGTGGCTAGTTTTCTAACACTATCTGTCCTCCATCTTTTTAGCAGATCTAATGTTACCTGATCCTCACCAGCAGCTTTGCCTCTTTGCATGCTCTCCAAAGCTTTTCTGACTTCTACCATTACTGGTGGGGTATCATCTGGGTTCCTGCTAGTTCTTATAGCATTAAGGTTGTGGTACTATAAGCGATAGTGATGGCTGCTAATGGCGACTGTCATGTCTTCTGCGACGACAACGCATTTCTCCACAAATGGCGTTTTTTTTTTTTTTTTGCTTTGAGCACTATAGAAACACCACAAGACGTCTTGCAAGTCTCGCCATTCTCAACAACTTTCCGCCAGCATGCAAACAAACGTTTTCTATGCCTTAAAGCAAAATGACGCCACTCTTTGAAGGCATGTCGGGGCTTATTTCACCATGTTCGAGCTCAGTGCTCGGAGATAGTCTATTTTTTTCGCCGATGATATTCTGGAAAGTACCCCACTCCTATCGGGCAGCTTTCGCTTCTGTGTCGCGGGCCCCCCGACAAAAGTAAGCGGGCAAATTCGGGAATATCCCTGGAACGCATCCTTCGACGAGGTCCCACTTTCCTTCGGCGATTTGTACCTTCTTACCATTGATGACGTGAGTGAAAGTGTTCAGGATGTCTTTCTCATGAAAGGGCATATAACACACACGTGAGGTGCTGGGCACTTTCTTATCCGCACGACGAATAGCGTGGTTTCACGCCTCTCGCTGCTCAAGTATACGCGGGCACAAAAGAAATGTCATGGTGTTACTCATTTCCTGTAGCCACTCTACAGCCGGCAACGCAACATCTGGGCATGATGAAAACACGCAACACATACACAACAGAACAGTGCACGCTGAAGCAAAAAACTGTTCACGCAGAAAGAAGACTCCACAGACATCGACGCACTGCAACATGCATAGGCGATATATGTTACGGGAGTGACATGAGCGAGCATCAAACTGGTAGGTGTTCTGTGCGAGCATGCAGTGAGTGAATCTGGTTGCGACAGCAGCGCCACATTTGTCGCTGGCAGCGGCGGCGCCGCGCAACATCGCTCAGTTTTGCAACTTATAGTTCTAAAAACGTTGCCACGGGCCTGGCATAGCCTTTGAGATTTGTAACTGACGCGTAGCATTATTATTTTATCAATATTTGGAACACTGAAGTGCTATATAAACCAATGTAGGCTGCAATTTCAATTGTGTTGTCATGTGTGAGCAAAAATATTGAAGCGACAACTGGAAAATTATTTTACAACCCTTTAGCAGAGATCGGCTTCATCTCGCGATGCTGCATCACTGGTCTTTCTGCCTGCGCTAGGTATTACCGGGTTCACCTCGACCACCTTGAAACGTTCTTCGCCGCCGCCTGCCCTGCGGGGTGCGTATTTTTTGTCAACTGCGTGAACGCAAGGACTGAAGATGAACGGCGCTCTACGAAAGGCCACCAGCGTTTTTCGAAGCGCTGCAATGCAGACCCGTTCGACGTCGGTGAATTCATACTCGGTCTCGCTGCCGAAAGGCTTCAAGATGTCGGCCCCCGAAAAGGCGGTTCACATCGCTGTGATCGTATCCACCATTTTCGCTTACCCAGTTTGGGTCCTTACTCACCTCAGGGAGTACAGAGGAATCAAGGATTAGCGTAAGTAGTTTTCACGCGTGTGCTTATTTTCACTCATGCGCTCATAACCCATTACCTCGGAGCCGATGTGAAATGAGAGGGTCACCGACCTTCTTGAATCGGGATTTAGACCGATTACTGGCGTTCAGATGAGCTATTTTGTTTTTGTGCAAATCTAGAATACTTTCTAAATTCGCAAGGAAGGCACAGGTGTAACTAAGCAGTGCTACCAAGTGGGTGGGTGCTGAACATGCAGAGCGTGTAGTACCGAAGATCGCACAGACAGCTATGTTTCTGTACTTATACGTTTTTTTTTTTTACTGTATCTACGCATGCAGAAGAGCGCTGAAATCGAAGTCTTTGTTCAGTTTATCTTTCAAGCATCGTTTGCAATGTTGCTGCGTTAATGCTGGGTGAGCACAACGCTAGTCCCTACTTGTTCATGTGTGCCGTCCGCGAAGTTTGCTCAAGGCTGTCGCATTGGCAGTTTTTTCATTATAATGTAATTTGTCTTTACAGTTGTACTCACGAAGACCTGCACCATGCTGGTGTCCACCGGAAACCTGGGCACAAGTCACCACACGAACCATTAGCTAACAGAACACAATAAAATGTGTTTGAGTACACACGCATTCGTTTTATTTTTGTTCTTTATCATGACTGCACAGGCTGTAGTTCAGAAACAGTTCAATGAGAGCATAATAAATCCAACAGATCATCGAAGTCCGAGCTTGCCGACTCAGGAGGTGACAATGACGAAGACGTTTGGCTTCCTTGTGAGGGCTGAGAGTCGGAGAGATCGCTGGAAGATTGCGAACTCTCACCAGCGGAGTCGTATGTACCTTGGTCCTCTGGCGATGACTGAGACTTCAAAACGATGGTTGTAGTTGATAAGTCATCGAAGTGCGAATTTTCGCTGTCTGCATTGGTCGGCGGAGGAGCTTCACATCCGTGGCATTTTGCAGCAATATTGTACATGTGTTTCACGAGAGCGTTCATGAAAGATTCCGAGTTGCTCGTGCGCAGCGCTTTTTTACAAGTAGTCCAAAAATTTGGGTCTATGCACCGAACACCAACGTCCCTGATCACGGCAACAGTGACTTCGATGGCCTTTTCAACTTCTTGCTGTGCCTGCTCCGCGGTCACGCAGCTGTAGGCGACGACCGCGTCAGTGAAGTGACATGCCCGGAGAGCCAATGAGGACGAAAATTGAACGCGATGATAGCGCTATCTGGATTGCGGTGGCAGTCTTGCAAGGATCAGAAAACTGTAAATGAACTGTAAAAACTAACAATGTTTACAAAACAAACCACAAATTTTTATAATGTAGCTTTAAAGTACCTATAAAAATTATTAATTTTAGAAAGTTGCTTGAGTAAGACCTAATAATGCATACGAGCTAGCTATATTTTCGTCTGTTCGTGAGCTAAAGCGGGCCGAACCGAAAACGATTCAATATGGCTGCGGGCTTCCGGCAAGCGGCTGTCGTGTTTTCGTTGCAGGCCACCTTTTTCCTTCCTCCGTGTTGCAGGCTGTAGGGCAGTGTATAGGTGTTCTGTGGCTGTAGCTCGTTTAGAGCGTTCTACGCCACGTTGATTCGGTCGCAAGTGTTTCAATAACCTGTTTTTATTGAACGGCACGCGTGGTTCTGTCTCTGTACTGAGAACTTTGTGGATATTTATAGTATAGAGCAAGCCATTGTATTAGATGATCTTGAGAACGACACATATTGTGTGAGTACACAAAATTCTTTATCGCAGCAGCATTGGCGTGGTGATGAATGCGCACGGTCGTCATTTTAAGCACATCACACGCACAGTGTTTGCGTAAGGTAGCGCTAGTCACTGTGTGTACGCTTGTTTGTAAAATTTCAATTTCAACAGCACATGTTGAACCAAGGCCTCCTCAACAGGAGGCGTTGGTTCAACATGTGCTGCTGGTTCCACATGTGCTGCAACATGGATTGCAGTCGAAGTGCAACCAACGCCTCCTCTACAGGAGGGGTTGGTTGCACTTCGACCGCAATCCAGGCCCACCCGGGAATGAACTATTCGAAGAAATAAAATTAGTCCCGTAACTCGCGCGAATGAGTAATCCACGATTAAAAAAGTCGATCCAGAGTGGGCTCTATTACGATCCCTATCCCACAGTGTGACACGTGTACGTAAAAAAAAAAGTCACGGAAGTAATGTACTTTCACATCGTTTCGTGGATATCAATGTAGTAAGTACACATTGCAGGTGCTTACAATGTATGTGGTAGTGCATTTTTTCGCCAGCATGAGATAACGCACTGTATGCATGTCATGTTGCAGATATACAAATAATCAACACTTCAAACTGTACTGTCACGTTTTGTAAAATACAAAATATGGTAAAGGTGGACGTGCAACAGCAATAAAATAAATTAAGTAATATACACAAATAGCAAACTAAGCGAATTAAACTGGAGTGTTCATTTAAATATATAAATCTCGTCAGCAGCACACCTTCTGCACACACTCCTTTTGTTTTTGTTTGACAATTGGTGTATGCAACCACTGAAGAGGCAATTGCTGAGGCATTTTGATATATACACACTGCTAATCACACATATTGACCAGCCATGGAAGCTTTGCAGCACTTCTAAGCTCAAGGACGGCCACAGTGGTTGCATTTCCATGGGGGAGAAATGCAAAGGACACCTGTGTGCTTACATTTACGCACTCATTAAAAAAAACAAGGCAGTTTAAAATAACCTAGAAACCCCTACTATGACGTGCCTCATAATCATACTGTCACGATGAATCACAAGTACTGGGGGTTTATTAAACCACAGAGTAGCTAGCTCTGGGACAATGCATCAGGCCTGGCTGGCTCTCCGGTCAAGAAGAAGCACGTGATCTTTTTTTCCTCCAGATTGAGAGCCATTCTTGCAGTCGACCCACTACGTAAGGGTGGCACTATCCCCCCTTTCGAAAAGAAAAAAAAAAAAGTCCCAAAAGAGGGAAAGAAAAGTACATAGCACCACCCTGATGTTATGACATAGGCATGTGAAAAAAAAAAAAAGAAATCTAAAATTTGGATAAAGTAAAAATAGAAATTAAAGAGCGTGCCAATATAGAAAATATCAATGAACAAAGAAGCAAGTTCACAAAAATAAATAGATAACACAAAGAACAGTGTACGGCAAAGAAAAAGTTACGAAGAACGCGCGATAAATCGTTTCATGCGCAACACATAAACGACGTCCGGCCTCGGTCGTGTCCTGCTTCGTGCCTGCGATGTTGAGTCCGGAACCACTTCGTAGTTCACGTCACTGACGCAGTGTAACACTTTATATGGGCCAAAGTACCGGCTCAGTAACTTTTCACTAAGGCCACGGCAGCGAACGGGCAACCACACCTAAACTTGGTCTCCGGGGTTGTAAAACACTTCTCTGGGGCGGGTGTTATAGCGCCGTGCCTCTGCCTGCTGTTGTTGGCCGATGTGTAGTCGCGCGAGCTGCCGGGCTTCCTCGGCATGCTCTGCGAATTCTTCGGTGTCAGTTGTCAACTCGTCTTCGTCTTGACACGGTAGCATAGAGTCCAGCATGATCTGCACTTCGCGGCCGTAGTGAAGCCGGAATGGCGTGAATCGTGTGGTCTCTTGCACGGCGGTATTATACACGAAGGTCACGTAAGGTAAGATCCGGTCCCATGTTTTGTGCTGTATGTCGATGTACAATGAGATCATGTCTGCGATGGTCTTATTCAGTCGCTCGGTAAGTCCGTTGGTTTGCGGGTGGTACCCAGTTGTCGTTCGGTGTCTGGTGTTGCTCAGTTTGAAAACTTTTTCCATAAGCTGCGCCGTGAATGCCGTCCCTTTGTCCGTTATTATACTGGAAAGAGCACCGTGTTGTAACACGATGTGGCGCATGAAAAATCGTGCTACCTCAGAAGCCATGGCTCGAGGGATCGCCTGCGTCTCAGCGTAGCGTGTCAAATAGTCGGTCGCGACGATCACCCATTTTTTGCTGTCCGCAGACAGGGGACATGGCCCGAGAATATCCATGCCGACTTGGTCGAACGGCGTGCAGGGTGCTTCAATGGGCTGAAGAAAACCAGCTGGCTTAACAGATGGTTGCTTTCGGCGCTGACATTCCCGACAGCTCTTTACGTACTTCTTTACGCTTGCTGAAAGTCCTGGCCAATAGTACCTCTCGCTCACTCTGGCAAGTGTCCTTGAGTAGCCCAGATGACCGGATGTGGGTTCGTCATGGCAAGCGAAGAGGACGTCGTCTCGAGGAACCACCAGGAGGTAAGCACGATTGTTCGAACGAGCGTTCTTCTTGTACAGCACGCTGTCTCGAAGGCAGAACGACATCAACGAGCGGAATAAATGACGTGGTATGATTGTGCCCTGGCCCTCTAAATGATTGATGATTGGACGAATCTCTGCGTAATCTCGCTGCCGTTTGCTCAAATCTGTTGAGCTAATGGCGCCCAAGAAGCCTTCGTCTTCCTCTACTTCCTGACTGACAACATGAAGGGGTGCGCATGACAGTGTGTCAGCGTCTTCATGCTTACCCCTGGACTTATGGATGATGGTGACGTCAAATTCCTGCAGCTGCTAGCTCCACTGTGCTAGCCGTCCTGAAGGGTCGCGCAGGCTTGCCAACCAACAGAGGGCATGGTGGTCCGTCACTATCTTGAAGGGACAACCATAAAGGTACGGGCGAAACTTCGTGATTGCCCACACGACGCGAGGCACTCTTTCTCCGTAGTGGAATAATTCACCTCGGCACGGGATAGAGAGCGGCTGGCGTAGGATATCACTCTTTCGATGTCCTCTTGACGCTTAACGAGCACTGCACCGAGCCCAACGTTACTAGCGTCAGTATGAACCTCCGTGTCAGCATCATCGTCGAAATGAGCGAGAACGGGCACTGATTGCATGCGTTGTCGCAGTTCATCAAAAGCTGCTTGTTTCTTGTTTTCCCAGACAAACGGTTTGTCGTCCCTTGCGAGACGGGTCAGAGGTTCTGCTATCTGTGAAAAACCATGAAGGAACCGGCGAAAGTAGGCGCACAAACCAAGGAAGCGCCGGACGGCTTTCTTATCGACAGGAGCTGGTAATTCGGCAACAGCGGCAAGCTTGTCTGGATCAGGCCGGACTCCTTCAGCGCTAACTACATTGGCAAGAAATTTTAGTTCTTCATAGCCGAAGTGGCACTTCTGTGGCTTTAGTGTGAGGTCCGCCGATCGAATAGCCTCCAGCACGCTGCGCAGGCGGTGCAGGTGCTGCTCGAACGTGGCAGAGAAGACCACCACATCATCAAGGTAGATGAGACAAGTCTGCCACTTGAGCCCTGTGAGGACAGTGTCTATCATTCGCTGGAAAGTTGCGGACGCTGAACACAAACCGAAAGGGAGTACTCGAAATTGGTGTAGGCTGTCTGGAGTCACGAAGGCTGTCTTCTCATGGTCTCGTTGATCTACCTCGATTTGCCAGTACCCGCTTTTGAGATCGAGAGAAGTGAAATAATGGGCACGACGAAGTCTATCCAGCGAATTGTCGATTAGCGGCAGCGGGTACACACCCTTTTGGTCACATTGTTAAGCTTTCGGTAGTCGACGCAGAAGCGTAGCGACCCGTCCTTCTTTTTGATTTGA